GGGTGATAGTGTGAACAAGGCTGGTGTCAGGGGTTCGATACAATGATTAGGAAATAATGTCATCGATATTGAGAAAGAATTAATCACTAAGGTGACAAAAAAAAAACTGATCTATTTATTTGGCTAATACAAAATCAAAATTATAAATCTCAATATATCTATCGTCGAGTGTTTCTTCCTGAGGTGACAGATTAAATTGAAGGAAGTATTGAAGGAATACGTCCTGGTTCTGTGTTGATATGTATAGTAATATGTAATAAGTCATAGGTGTTTTACCAGATGTGACCAGCAGGTGGGTCAGTGTAAAATCAAGGTTGGTAGACGGGGGTGAAAAAAGAAGTTACTTTTCCGGGAGAACAAAAATGAGACATGTTCTGGATATGTCTGAGTCTGCTCATCAAGCTAGTAGGTGATAAATGATATAGGTTGTATAACTTGCATAACTAGCACGTGCTAATTTAAAATGACCAATTTAGATTAAAAAGCAAAAATGGGACTTTGTTGTTTTCCAGTCCTCTCTCTTACTTCTGGCCGTTTGACTTCCTCTATCACTGCACTTGAAGCTAGTAACTTGCGATGATGGATCCTTCGGCTCTTATCTTCACAGAAACTGTTGTGTTGAAACTTCATCAATTGCTCAGTGAACGCTGCTTGTGATCTGTAGCTTTTAATTCTTATTCCAATGTAGGATTAGAGTGAATTTGTTACCGAGTCCGTTTGTCAACCTTTCGGCAAATATGATTGCATTAGAAAGCGATTGCTTCACTCCACATATTATGATGTGATGTTTTCAATGCAAGTGACCCAGAAAGATCTAATTTCACACCAATCTGAGGATGTTGAGAGAGAGTAAGATATTTTTTTAACCAAGCCCAAATAGAAAGAAAGAATCAGAGCTCCAGTTTTCTAGGCTACATCCCCCAGATGAACAGCACCGTTTAGTACACAGTTTTTTGTTCTACTAAAGGATCTTAGAGCACTCATTATAATTGCTCCTGAAGGCTGCATTCCTTCATGAACGGAAAGCAAAACTCTTAACTGTCAGATTTTAAACTTGTTCTTGACTTCTGATTAAGCTAGCTAAGCTAGCGCAACAAAATAGTTACTGCCCTTCTGCACACTGCGCAACAAAAGACGCACTGCAAGCAAACGTAACCGACATTCACGACCACAAGTCTGCCCTGTTTCTTGCGTTGAACGACACAATGCTAACAAAGAGTCAGTGACAGCGATGACAGGCTGCATACAAACAGCTTCGGTTCACCCGGCGATTCGACACGGACACTCAGGACACTAAGCCATTCCACAACAGCACTCGTACGTATGTCGATTCACTTGTATCTAGATTGCAATTTCCCCATAAAAACCAATTAATTTGTTCCAGCCCCCCAGAAATATACTATTAATTAATTAAATTAACCTCCCATCTAAACATCAAAAACACAGAAATAAACAAATATATAGATAATATACAATAATAATAATTAAGAAACATTTTAAATTATTGTTATAAAAAAACTATTTGGAAAACTATCCAATGTCACTTAATTGGTCCCATTATATTATTATTATTTATTTATTGCAAATATTTTTTCTTTGTTTGTCAATGCATGTCAGGCAGAGCAATTCAATCTTCTTCCCCTAGGCGACATCAGGGAATACATATTCTTAGCACAAGGATGGTCATTTTGTACCAATAATAGGAAGTACTGTGCCCAGAAAAAGAAAAACAGATGTAGCAAATATCGAAAGGCAAACACTGAAGATGAGACTCACCCAGAACAACCAGCAGGTTGAGTAAGAGAGGTGTATAAATAGAGGAGAAGATAACAAGGAGCAGGTGGAACATCAGGAAATTACAAGCGAGGGACAGTGAGCGAGACAGTGCGACAGTGTGGAGCTCGTCTGAGCAGTCGTAACTATATGGTTCCTCGTACCACAAGGAAATTCTTGCATAAGTTACTTACTCGTAATGTGGAAAACTCGTATTTCGGGGAGCTCGTATCTTGGGGCCCCAGTGTACATATATTTCTCTTTGGGGCTAAATCTTTATATACAAACACACTGAGGAAGAATGAGACCTTTTGGGTACTGAAAAGCCACTGCAGCTACCTGACTGGCTTGGAAGGGTCAAACTGAGGAAGAATGAGACCTTTTGGGTATTGAAAAGCCACTGCAGCTACCTGACTAGCGGGAGGTCACTAATTCCACTCCTGAAAGAGGAATGAATTTTCAATTTATTTGATCTCGCATTTGACATTGATCTGCTTTGTAATAATCATTAAAAGGAAATACATTATGTTTGCATTTTCCACAGGCAGGATGAAGGACAAGTAAAGGAGACATCCCCGTGGCACTGAGAATGCCAACTGTTGTAAAAGAAAGAAAAGGAAGCAATGCTAGTGTCTCTCTGTGTGTGTTTGTGTGAAACAAATCCACTTACCAAGGCTCTTGGAGCTTTGCTGCACTGTGATGCAGGAAACCAAGGACTTTAGCTGACACATAGGCACAGTTGCTTTCCGAAAGACAAATGGAGTTTACAAGAGAAGTCATCCGCACAGTAATGACTGTCTGAGACAAACACAGACAGTTGAAAACAACGTTTCCTCATGCTGAAAACAAATACCTAGGATGTTACATTGCTGTAATGTAACCGACGGTGAATTATGGGTTAGTTTATGGTTTATTAAGAATCGCTAAAACAAGTTTGTGATGTCTGTGTATACAGGGCGTTGGCGGTTTACATGCTCGATCTATAGCGTTTCGTGGTTACGTCACCATCTCCCATACATCCGATGTTCGTCGTTAAAACGCGAGTGGATGAATGGAAGATGGCTTTGTTGACATTCACGGATTGTATGCCATGCATTGGACTGTGCTACATTTGCCACGTTTCACTTGTGTGTTTTTTCTGGGAACAGTTTGCCTTTCATTATGGCTCCCAAGAACAAGTCAGACTCTTCTGACGTTTTTTATGTCCTAGATTATGATGTTACCGCTGTCTTAGCTTACGGGAGTGCCATAAATACTTATGGACAGAATGTGAGTTCCAACTTAAAGGTATGTCACTCCAACTCCAACATAAGTCAAGGCACCTCGTATATACAGAATGTATTTGTATATATATATATATATATATATATATATATATATGTGTGTGTGTGTTTAACTTCTCCTTCCCATCTACATCAACATAAACCTCTACTAACCCTTTATACATGATCTTGAGGATAGTTTTGTTTTTCTCACTGTGTCTCACCGTAATGAGATGCTTTCTTTTCCCCCAGCTTTTCAGCTGCACCATATACAATAAATCTTAGTGAAATAATCTCTGATTAAATCAGTAGAAAACCAGTGGGCCTCCAAGTCATAGTGTAGCTCAATAAACACCGGTCTGTTTTTTTGCATATATACCCAGTATTGATTACTCAACCACAGGACCCCCAATCTTTAGAACTACTACTTGTCAAATAGTAATCCCTACCATAATCTGTGCCTAAACTTCAAAGGGTGTTTTTGATGCTGGAAGCTCCCAAGTAAAGTAAGCTGTAGCCATCTCTGACCTATTCAAAGAAATGTCTTTTGAGCATACGGCCAAAAGAGCCTTTCTACCGTCATTCTACCTCTGCCTAACCCAGGGGTCTGCAACCCGTGGCTCCGTAGCCACGTGTGGCTCTCTCATCCCCCTGCTGCGACTCCCTGTGGCTTTAGACAATAAATACCGAATAACTCAGATTATAGAGACATTGTGACATTGAAATAAAACCAGTTTTTTTTTTTCATTTTGACTCTCAAAATACGCGTCACAGCGGTCGACATGTGTCAATTGTCAGCGTGCAATTAATCGAACTTTTAAACCCCATGGATTGCCAGTTGCGACACACGAAGTGAATTTAAAACTTAAGCATTCGGAGTCCTGTCTATCTTCACACGGGAGTCTTCTACAGCATGAACAATATATATAAAAAAAGAGTTTTACGCCTCACAGACAGTTTACAATCATGTGTGAAGAGGGAGGTAACGTCAAACAGCCTTAAAATGTAGTTGCATTTAAGTTCAACAGCATATATATATATACAAACATATATATACACACACATATATACATATATACACACACACACACACACACACACACCCACACACACACACACACACACACACCCACACACACACACACACACACACACACATGTACACACATGATTTTTTCACATTAATCAATCAAATAGTCCATATTTATTCGGATTGACAGCGACCGCACGCTCCAGTACACACGATAAAAAGATGACGGCACACAGAGACAGACGGCATTTTTGCTTTGCTGCAGGTGAATAATTTATGTTTGGCTTTTTCTTTCAGAGCATATATTTTTGGGTCGAAGTAACCTTCAAACCCAGCATCTTATTTTCAAAATTCAAAATGTTTTTGTTTCATGCAGAAATAAAATGTGGGTTTCTCTGAAGCAGTTCACTGCTTTCGTAAATTCCACATATTTTAGTTTTTATACACGGCATAAAGGTAAAAAAAAAAACCCAAACAACAAAGGTTTTGTTTTTGTTTTTTTTCTGTGAGAAATTAAGGTTTTTGACTGCTGGGTCTAAACCAAACTCATGACTGAGCTCTATTTGCACAAGCTAACACAGGAAATGTGATTTGTAAACAAATGTGAGCAGTTAAAATGATTTTATTAAAAATAACATTACGCAAATTGGATTACTAGCATATAAACGGTAATGACTGAGTTAAGTTTCGTTTTCTTTTCTTTTTTTGCTAATTTGGTCATTAAGGTTCTGTCAGTCGTTCCACTCTTAGTTGATAGATGAGTATTAAGGCTGAATATTGTTATTTGGGAACATATCCCACCCATCCCCCCGTCTCTCTATCTATCTATCTATCTATCCATCATCCATCTATCGTCCACGCCCCCCCCCCATCCCCCCCAACTGTACAACTTCCAGGAAAATTAACCAATTTTAATCTGCTGACTGCAGACTTACCCATGTCCACAGATGTCTCGGCAACTACAGCCTGACCTCAGCTAGGCAAATCTCCAGAGATCTCACCGGCTGTCACATCCCATTGCATCACAATTACGGTCGGTACCGTCCTGTAGGGAATGCCCTTTTCCTTGACCTATGTGCGCTTCCTCTCTCCTCCACCTAGGAAAATGGAATAAGAGCCATATGGGATTCAGGCACCCAGCAGAGGAAGCATCTGTTTTAAGGACTGGTCATATGTAAATAAATTCACATATACGTGTAATAAAGGGAACTATTATTTTTACCCAAGCAGAGGGAGAAATGTTTTGTCGTGTTTCTGGTTTGAAATGACAAAACTGTTCTTGTTTAAAGCCACGATGTCTGTTTTACTTCAAGCCATGCTTATCGGTCTAATTGGTTAACCAGTTTAGTGCACAGATCTTCAGAGGGTTTGAGATGTTAAGATGTCAAATTTAACATGCCTACAGCATTCTCTATAATGACATGATCAGAACTGGACCAAAATATGAAAATATAGAGTGTCATTAGGATATTATGGCAATAATTATTTTATCCAGCCTAACCGCCCAGGTTGTTCTGGTCAAGGGTCAGAAAATTAACCCCATACAATTTTGCTGCGTTTACTAAAATATCAAGTGATGTCAAGAAAAAAAGTAAAGAAATATTGATACCGAATCCCATGTTTTGACCAAAAGCTGCACTTCTTAATAAACCATAGTCAGAGCTAAAACAATGGTTTGGTTTTTATAGTTCAAATCACCCGTATGTGACCAAATATAAAGACATACAACAACTATTCCCTGCTTCCTCACATGTCACATGTCCACAAAAATATCCACTGAGATCTTCCTCTTCAACCATCTCAACCTCACCTCTCCTAACTTTTATCTCCAAACTGCTCCACCTCATTTGCTCATTTCTAATCTTGTCCATCCTGATTACTCACTGAAAATCTCTGCATCTTCGTCCCTGATTTAAAGCCACTGTCTCAAAACTATACATCATAGCAGGTCTCACTACTGTCTTCCCTTTCAACCTTGGTGTCATTCCTCTGTCTGCACATCTGTACATACTGTATATACAGTGCAATCATACCACTGTATATGTTTGGACTTTATGTGATAGACAGAAGTGGCAGAGGCAATGTCTCTGTCATAGGTGTGGAACCCCAGGGTTCACCTCCTGGGCAAGATCAAATCCCGGTTAGGGCGGTTGGTACCTTCCAGTGGACTTTCCACCCGCAGGAAGGTTCAGGGGGGGTTGGTACAGTGCAATGTGATTTGGGTGGCGGTCATGAAGACTGCTGCCCCCGCGACCCGGTAACAGATAAGCGGATGAAAATGGATGGACTTTGTTGTTTTCCAGTCCTCTCTCTTACTTCTGGCCGTTTGACTTCCTCTCACTGCACTAACTTGCGATGATGGATCCCCCGGCTCTTATCTTCACAGAAACTGTGTTGAAACTTCATCAATTGCTGAGTGAACGCTGCTTGTGATCTGTAGCTTTTAATTCTTATTCCAATGTAGGATTAGAGTGAATTTGTTACCGAGTCCGTTTGTGGTTGACAAACGGACTTACGGCAAATATGATTGCATTAGAAAGCGACTGCTTCACTCCACATATTATGATGTGATGTTTTCAATGCAAGTGACCCAGAAAGATCTAATTTCACACCAATCTGAGGATGTTGAGAGAGAGTAAGATATTTTTTTAACCAAGCCCAAATAGAAAGAAAGAATCAGAGCTCCAGTTTTCTAGGCTACATCCCCCAGATGAACAGCACCGTTTAGTACACAGTTTTTTGTTCTACTAAAGGATCTTAGAGCACTCAGATAAGCGGATGAAAATGGATGGATGGTGATACACAGAATTAAACAGCTCAATGGGCTGCATACAGTGGGTCACTGACCACCCTCAGTGACCCGCTGACAGTAAGCAATATCAACAAGAGCAACTTGAGTTTTAATGATCTGCTAAAGACTTATTTGCATGTATACCAATTTCTCACTCATTCTCACTCATTTGTGATGATGACACTATATGCTGAAGACAGCTTTGTTTACATTTACTGGTTGCATGCCTTAAATTGCACTGTGCATTTCTTTTTTGTTTTGTGTGTGTTCTGTTGTTCTTTGGGAACTTTTTGCACTTCATTATGGCTCCCAAGCTTAAGTCAGACTCTTCTGATGTTTTTATGTCCTACACTATGATGTTACCACTGTGTTGGTATAGGTGAGACATAGGTACTTACGTGAACTGTATGTAGAGTATGTGAGTTCCGATTCTGAAAACTGAGTTATGTCGCACCGTAGGAATGGAATTTTTTACATTTCTATTATACATAATACTTCTACTTTTATAATTATGGCAATATTTGCAGTCAAGAGAGTGAAAAATAAGGATTAGATTGGCAGTTCAAGGTTGCACTATCGACATCAGATATTTAGAAGTGGCATTGAGTGATCACAACACATCTAGTTTTGGTTTAAAGTTATTTTTTAAGCCTCACTTATTTGCTTGTGGCAGACATATTAAAAGGTTTGTTATAGTGTCAATAATATGGCAAAAAAATTTAAAGACAGTCTTAGATTGGTTAAGCTATTCTCTTTGAACTGTTTGGGAGGAAAAGTCACGTCAGCTGTTAGTTTTTTTATTTGTATTTGTGGAGGTGACACTTTTCATTTCATCACAGTTCAGTTCTCAGCTCTCAGTTTACCGACTCCTGGTGGAATACATTACACGAAAAACAACAACAGGAGTAGGAGTTTTATACTGGAATGATAAAAATCCAGTTGCTTGTTTTCGCTAATGTAGCCAGACAGACAAAACACTACTCGCATCAAAACACTCAAACTAAGGTTTATAAGACGAGAAACAAAATCCAGGGGAGAGTACTAAAAACGACACACTAACAGACAAGCTAAGAGCTAGTAAAAGAAAAAGTTTGCATTATTTTACCATATGACTGATTGTACTGTAGACTGTTAAACTCTCACAGCCCACTAACCACTATATTTTACTGTTGAACTAAATGGAGTCTGATGAATAAAGAATATAATTCCATTTATATTCAGGGAGTTCAAACGTCACAAGGATGCTAGCCACCAATTAAATATTAATTACATACTCCAAATAAATATATAAATTAAAGCAGGAGGACTTGCTTGTGACACGTGAGACTGCAGTATCAGTAAAATTTATGAAAAAGTGTAGAAAAAATCTGTCTCAAATAGTTCAGTGAAAAAAAAAAAAAACCCAGTCAGGACCGTATTCTGAATATTTTACATTCTGAGACAGGGATTGGGGTAATGAATTGTATCCGTGCATATTTTATACTGATGAACACACTTTGGAAAGAAATTTACAGAATTATGTTGGACATTGCGTTAGTTAGTCACACAGAAGTCGGTTCACACAGAGACCACAAGGCTCCCAATTATATTAACTTTACAGGACTGGGTTGACTGGACAAGCGAGTAGACGATAAAAAGCTGGAGAAGAAGCTGGGTAAAAAAACAAAACAATAATATATTGGAAGGTTCTGTTGTTAAATGAAAATTCTCCTCTGTCTTGTGAGTGATCATTTGATTCTGTGTCTTCACCTGATCTAAACCTGAATTAGATGGTTTGGAACAAAGAGTGCTGGCAAAACAGCAAACAAATGTTCGCCATCTATGGGGACCCATTTAAGACTGTTGGAAAACCATTGCAGGTGACGACCTCATGAAGTTCATCACGAGAATGCAATGTGCAAGTCAGATCAAGTCATGTGAAAGTCGGGGCACCGCACATATATCGAGGTAAAAAACAGATGGTCTGACATTAGGGTGGATGTTAAGCAGAGGGTGTCTGCTCCAGTCATGCTGTTATTCAGAATATATACACAGTATATATATATATA